ATAGGGTGAGAAACGATGGCCTCAAGTTGCGTCAGGGGAGGTTTAGATTGGATATTAGGAAAAATTTCTTTACTGAAAGAGTGGTCAGGCATTGGAACAGGCTGCCCGGGGTAGTGGTGGAGTCCCCATCCCTGGAGGTGTTCAAAAAATGTGTAGATGTGGTACTTCGGGATATGGTTTAGCAGGCGTGGTGGTGTTGGGCAGATGGTTGGACTTGATGATCTTAGAGGTCTTTTCCAACCTATGATTCTATGATTCACCTCAGGTACACCTCGAGTACACCAGTGGTACTCCAGGGGTACACCGCAGTTACACTGAGGGTACACTGGGGTAAAGAGAGAAGGTAGCAGGCCCAGCCTGTGTTCCTCCTCCCAAAACCGCTTGCAGACAGATTGCCGTGTGCGACACATCTCATTTAAAGATGAATTTGGAATTTATCCTGCTGCTCATGCCGCAGTATGAAGTCATACCTGGACAAGGGTGCTTATTCTCCATCCACCCATGAGCATCTCCAGCACTCCGTAGCAGAGGGAGTAGGAAAAAAGCGAATTCCCCAGTACTCAGTGGGCTGGACAATGTCAACGCGGCGCTGTGCTGTGCTGCTGGCAGCCAGGGGCCAGGGTCGGCTGCACTGTGGAGCAGCCCCTGTTCCACCTGCGATGGTGGTGAATAGGGAAAAAAAAAACCCAAACCCTAAAAACTCCATGGTGTTCTCAACCCTTAGTCCTTACTGGCATGTTTGTAAACGTTTCTGCTAAGAAGACAAGATCTTAATTTGAAGTTGCACAGCATCCTCCATCATCTTCCGTTCTTTGTGTCTTTCTCGTTTTCGACCAACCTAGGTCCTGCGTCGCCTACCAGCAGTGTTCTGGGTAAGGAAAGCTGGATGAGAAGTTGTGAAATTGCTATGTTTTAACCGACTAGGAAGATAATGAGTGAAAAAGTAAGGCATTTTTTTTTTTCCCCATAAACAATTGACCACAATGTCTTCCCAGCATTCCCAGGCCTGCCAGTCTGAGAGGCAAAAAACCCCAAGAACAGAAAAATCCCAGCTACTAAATATTTTATTTCCAGTGTAATTTCTAGCTCTGTGCAGATGCGGATGGAGCAAGCGAAGGAGTGTTTTTCCCAAGAGAAGAAAGAGCATCAAAATGCAATGACTTTATAAGGACTGTTTTTATGGCAAAAGCACTTTTTAACGAGAAGAGTCATATTTCTTCACACACTATATATAACTTTGTAAACCCTCCCTTTGAACTATTTGCATGCAACATTAGCTGCATCCAAAAATCCATTAAACTCTTTGACAAGTTAACATTTTGTTGAAAGTTTCCCCTGCTACATTTTCACAATACAGCAGTACTAACAATTTGACTTTTCTCTAGGTCTGAGTGAATTTTACTGAGCTGAAACAAGAAGTTGTGCAGAAGTTAGTCAACAGGCTAGTTTTAGTGCAAACGTGGTGTCGTGTAATAAAGGGGAAGAAGGAAGAGAACAGGTCAGGAAGCGACAGGGGGTTTATCTCATGAAGATAAAGATGTCAGCCTTTAGTCAGCGGCAAGATGTTCAGAAAAGCAGCTGAATTCAGCTCAGAACTTGTTTTCTGGGGACAGAGGTGGATGCTGGAGGTGGCAGTTGGTTGCCATAATGAAGGACGAGAGGCTGAAGATTTCTGGGGGTCAGCCAACCTGGCTGCTGGGGAAAGAAGAAGGGTGACTGTGTGAATAATGAAAGATGGACTGGGCACTCTCCATGTCAGATAGCCTGCAACACTGTTTTAATGTACGAAGCAGCCTGATGAACATCTTGGATTACCAGCTAAGATGCAGTTTTTTGCTTATTTTCAGGGAGACTGGAAGAACTGAATAAGAGAATATGAAAGTGACAGAACTTCATGGTTTTGGCCCATCCAGAACATGAACTGAAATGTTTTTTCTCCAGATCTCTTTTGACTTTATGACATTTCACTAACAGCAAGTTTCTCTAAAAATTCTTTTTTCAAGTATTTTTTCTCATATCATGCTGACGTTGGAATATAAGTGATATTTTTAGAAATTTCAACAATACAGGTAATAAACATTAGTGATGTAATTAAAGTAAAAAATGAAGCATGGCTCGTCACTCTTTCAGCCCTTTTCCACCTCTGTCTCAGTAGCCCATACCTGAAGAAAACATCCTCAAATATTTGTTTATTGATTAACAGCAGCTAGCTTGAAAAGACTTCTAGAAATGGAGAGCTATTTAGACAAACAGACAATGAAATACTCAGTTTTGGTACCTCAGCAGAGATTTCTTTTTTTCGTCCTGGCAGAAAAGGAATGTATAAATGAAGAACTCAGGTTACTAAATATGTATGACATGCATACATTTAGTACTGACAGAAGTAGCTTAGTGCCAGCTGAGATTTTCCAAAGTCCCTGCAAATCCTTGCTTATGGGATCATTATGCATAGTCATGTATTAGTCAATTCGATGATTTACATTAAAAAACATAGTGAAGGAAGAAGATGCAGAAGACAGATTGACCATCTTTTTAATGGAATAACAAAGGGATTGAATTAAAATTGCCTAGCTGAATTTAAATTTTATGTTCCTTAACATTTGAATACCTCACTTTACAACCGTAGTTTTATTTTAGTGCAGTTAAAATGCATAATGCACATGTAAAGGAAGAAGAAGAAAATGCACTACATCAATATACTGGAAAATCACCAAAAACCTGGTGTAAAAGTAATGGCGCTCTCTGCAGTAAAAGCGGTTTGTCTGGAGATCTTCATGTTGGTATTTTTCTTTATTTTGATGGTAATGTTTAATGGCTTCTGACAGCCTGCTCCAAACAGCACAGACAAGTTTTGTATTATCATCCCTATTATCATCTTGCTTAACATGTTTTGCTGTGGCGAATTCACAGAAAGAAAAAGCAAAAGTATGAGAGGAAACAGGACGAGAGGAAGTGGCCTAGGATGAGAAGCAATGGCCTCAAGTTGTGCCAGGGGAGGTTCAGATTGTGTATTAGGAAAAATTTCGTCACAGAAAGAGCGGTCAGGCACTGGAACGAGCTGCCCAGGGTGGTGGTGGAGTCACCGTCCTTGGAGGTGTTCAAAAACTGCGGTGTGGCACTTCAGGACACGGCTTAGCAGGCATGGTGGTGTTGACAGTTGGTCTTGATCTTAGAGGTCTTTTCCAACCACAGTGATTCTATGATCCTGTGTTTCTAAGATTCAACAGACTATAAGAGAATCTCACCTGACATTTGTACGTTAAGGCTGCATCTGTGCTACCAATTTATTCTGGAGCTGTAGAGGGGCTTTAAAATGAACTTCTTGCCTTTGTTTTACCATGCATTGGTCCAATAGACAGAGTGGTTTCAGTATGTGTGAAGAGGCATCTCTTTAGAGGAAACCAGACTGGAAGCTCTTCATCAGCTGCATGCCAGGCCTTGATGGGGATGCTGCGAGTCAGGGTGTAGGCTGTGTCCCTCCGGGAGATCCTCCAGATCCCTGCTCCCTGCCACTCACATCCGCCACCGTCCTGTGCCAGTGCTTCTGCCAGATGTGCAGCTTTGTGTATGTTTTACGCCCCTCACCTGCAAAGGTGGTGGAGTGGGAGTGAGGGGAGTGCTTGGGGATTGTGGAAGAGTTAAGGTCTTTGGCTCGTAGCTCCGGAGAAGGGATCTGAACGGCAAGTCTGGCTCCAGTCCCCCTGGAGATGTGGGCTGCAGGAGAGCCTGCCTGTGTGGCCACTGCATACGTGAAAGACAGCTGTCTGTCTGCCACCAAGCGCAGGCATCCAGCTCCCTCCTGGGGGGATGAGCCCGTGCAGCCCCCCTAGACGTCTCTACACAGATGCTGCTGGGGGGTCTCCTCCTGTCGTGGTAACTCTCTCCTCCCCCTCCTCTGCATTCCCACCAGTGCAAGTGACATGGCTACCCGCCTTGGGTGCCATGCGTGGTCCTGCGCATCCTCGGCCACGAAGAGCCGGCGTGGCACCGAGCTCACCCCTTGCCTTTGGGGGCCTGGGGGTTTGCAGGAGCTCAGCAGCTGATGCGTGGGATCGCTTCCTTTCCCGTTTCGGCAGGCACCCCGCAGATGGGATCCACCGAGGGGGATCGTCCCAGTGAGTGGGGTTGGTGGGGAAGAAGAGCAGATGCCTGGACAAGAGCATAAGAACAGGGCAGATATGTAGGGAGATACCTAATAGACCGCCACGTCTTCCAGTACGTATGAGACACAGAAGGAAGTATTTTATTTTCTGACCATCTCCTCTTGCCCAAAATTACCTGCCAAGGGCCTGAGCGGCATACATCTTGACTAGGTACTCCAGCCTTCTCTTCCCGATGGTGGGAGAGCAGGTCCATGGCCACAGTGGCACAGGGAGGACAGCTTTGGGCTCGCTCTGGGTGACCACCTGCAAATTTGTGTGCAGAAGAGCCGCGGAGGGTGGAGGGGCTACACGTACTGCTGAGCAGATTCAGCGTTACGTGGAGCGCTTGACACAGAGGAGTCTTGGAGAGGCCTGCAGAGTTAGGGCGAATACAGGGGTCTTCTCTGACCCATGTTCTGGTGAGAAAACAGAAGAGATGCTTAGATCTACCATCACGCCCACTTCCATCCACCTGAGGGGATTTGGCACTCCATTCCCCCATCCAAGGCAGGACCGAAAGCACTGTGGCCATTCCTGACAGATGCCTGCATGGTGTCTCCTTAAACATATCCATGATGCGGGCTCTGTAGTTTTCTAGGCCATCTGTTACACTTCTACTTTTTCCTTATAATTAGAAAGGACTTTTCAAAATGCCTATCATCCTTAATAGCTTTCATTTCAGTTTAAGCCTGTGACTCCTTGTTGTTTCCACCAAAGACAGAGAGAAAAAAGATTTGTCCTTGCAGTGGCATCTGGTGAAAGATTGTTGTCTGTCACTTAGGGTACCTACCTTGGAGTTGTCTGCTCAGTGTGTGTGTGTATATCTAAAGTTATGATGTCTTTTAAGGCGTAATGACTGAATAAGCATTCCACTCGAGGAGTACGTGTTGGAATCTACAGCAAGGGCTGTACAAAAGTTCCTTCCCAAATAAAACTATTATTTAGTGGTTAATTATTTGCTACCAATTTGAATAGATGCTGCAGTTAAATGTGGTCATACCCAATTTACAACGTATGTGCCAGAACAAGAGGAAAACAATTAGTCCTGTTCTATTCACATCACATTTACTGCGAAGGAGAAGTTTCTTTCTTCATGCAGGAAGGTTTTTTAAAAGGGTTTCTTTTTGTCTCTAGCTGTGCCAACATTCCTTTCACATTAGAAAATGAACAGATTTAAGCCCTCATTCAAAACACGGTTTGTAGTACAAACATGCTACAGTTGTCAACACACAATGCACAAACACACGGTGGCAAAAATAGACTGAGTGGAGCGGTCGCTAGCCCGTGTTGCCGAACTGCTCGTGGGAGGGGGAATGAAACTATTTTTACAAACAGCCAGCCAAGCTCTTCGAAGTCTCAGAAAGTCTATATTTGGAGTAGTGATATGGTTAGGGCAGTCATGTTAAATAATGAAATTTTTCAGCCATTTCCCTTTGTGTGAGAAGTGGCCCCAGATGGCCACCCTCATCCGGTTCATACCAGTGTAGTGCAGCAGCGCTACTTATTTAGAGCATATGGGGAAATATTTCAAGTGTAGTTAAACTAGCTTTATACTGCAGTTCATTTTAAAGAAATAAACAAACTGCAATAATTCCTCAAATTTTTCATTCCACAAATGTTCTATAAAATTCTTGTTATATCCGGGCTCTTATGACATAGTTTTAGAAGCTGGCAAAGGAAATAAGTGTTATAAAAGCAAATGACTATTCTGTATGATTCACGACGTAAAAAGTGGTAAAATTAGTGTCGTCTATGGGATTTAAGTCATATACACAATAATAAAAAAGTTCAGTCTCTGCAAAATACAATTTACCTCACCACACTTTTGCTTCATCTACTTGGATTCCGCAGGTTAGCTTTGTAACACAACCAAGGAGACAAGAGTTATTATTGAAATTCCACCTGTCCCCAGCGGTATGTACCCAAAGCCAGTGCCAAGTCTAGCATCATGTCAAAATGAATTCGCTCACACAAGCGCAGAATTAGCCTAACTGCAAGCATTTGATAATATCCAGACACTCTTAGAAAAGGGAGAAAAGCTGAACTGGGCTGAATTTTGACTAGGGAAAATGTTATGCAAAAACGAGGTGCTAAGATTTCTATTGAATAATAATCTCCAAAATTTATTTTGTTAGCCCTCTCACTTCATGTTTAGGTGTGCTGGGGCAGTGTTAGGCAAAGGGATGACAGTAGTATATACACAAGGCTATCTTGTTGCATCCTAATTGAACGACACAGTGAACTCCAAGTGTTTATGCACATCGTTAGAGAGAATATTCATGGAACAGCTCCAGGAAGCCTTACCTTTGGAGATGACAGAGTGAAACCAGAATCAGATAGATGTAATGCAGAGCCAGTCCCAAGCTGGTTTTCCAAGAGAACAAAAATCTCTTTTCTTTACTTGCTTGCTGGTGGCCACGCGTTTTAGTTTATAAGCTCTTTGAGTTTTTGTGTAGGCTGTTTTTCGCATAGCGTGTCTGAAATATGAACCATTTGGAACAGAGTCCTGAGTTAGATTTTTCAAGATTCCTTAGATTTATCCTTAAAAAAAAAGTAGATTATCTACGTATGAACTGGCAGAGGAGGATCTGAAAATGAGTGGGGGTTTTTTTTGAGAAACATTTGGGATTCAGTGTCTTTAAAAGTATTATTTCCTGTAAGTGGAAGTCTATCTTCAACAGGTGGCCTATCAAGTCTTCCATGGATTCAGGATTCTGGGCCCTTCTTCTAATTGTCAGCATCCTCTTCTTCCTACAGTTGCTGCTCAGTAATGCTGGCTGGCAGTTCCCGCCAGTCCTGCAGACTTGACAAGTCATCCCCTGAAGTCCCTGGGGGGTGAGACCAGCCTTCCCTGGGAAGATGTCACACTGTGTGGGAGAGGGGACGCTGAAGGAACAGGTCACAAGGGAAATGCAGGTGTAATTGGGGAAAATTGCTTTGTAAGTGTGTATGTGAGAGATCGTGCAGGGGAGATGTCACAGCAGAGGGGAAACACATCAGGATGAAATTGAAAGGAGTTAAGAGTTACAGTAGAAAACTTGAACAGATTTTGAAGAGGATACAGCCTCTCTTTTACCTAATGGCCATTACTTGGTGACTGAGGGACCAGTGAGGGTGTTCACTATTAGCATAAGCACCAACAGTACACTTTTTGTAGCAATGGTTCCTGATATTAGTGGAGAAACAAGTAAATAACTCATGGAAAGGCTGGAAATAACACAGTGCACACAAGTCTTTTGCAAGGCACAAAAGATTGTCACCCCTTAATGATTTAGTGGATGATTTCTGTAGCCTATTGTTTTGCATTCAATTGCTGAGTCATCCCTTTCAGTGTCTGTGAGGTTTATTAAGGTCAGAGCTTCTTTCTTGTGTCATATTGCAATTGAATTGCTTAATGTAATAGTTAACATGCAGCTCGTGAATGAATGTTTTTCCCCTGAAAGAGACATTTAGGTGAGGATACTCAATATTAACTTGGACAGATTTATCAAGAGGGTACAGGACAAAAAAAAGAAGGGGGAAAAAAAAAAAAAAAAAATCCACTATTCTCCCGCAGAAAAATGTTTTTCCCCTGAAAGAGACATTTAGGTGAGGATACTCAATATTAACTTGGACAGATTTATCAAGAGGGTACAGGACAAAAAAAAGAAGGGGGAAAAAAAAAAAAAAGAAAAGCTCCAGTATTCCCTGGCAGATAAATCTGTAATGGCTAAATGTATCTGATGGTTGTAGTAGCATGTTGCTGAACAACATTTGGAGTTCCTTTAGTGCACAATTTGGCAGGACGCTGTTGTTCCTTGAGAACGTAAAATACATATGCTTAAATACTGGAAGCATACTGTAATTAAAATTACTGCCTTATTAATAGGTGGTTTGTGAGCTATGTGATACCCCACTCCAGCAAAATTGGAAATATCATTAACAGCCATACACGAAGCGGGATCTAGAAATTCAACGTAAGTACAATCTATGACAAAGTGGGGAAAGCATCTGCATGGATCAGAGTGTATAAGCATGGAAATACAAGGGATTTTGAACTGAAGCTCAAGGAATCTTTATTTCTAAAAATACAAGTAGTCCAAAATCTGCATAATTTTGTTTGCACACTATAAGTGAGATCGTTCTTTAAAAGTTCTTAGGATGGCACTGATGAGACTGAAGGTTCAGAGGGACCTGTCTTGTGAGATTTAGCATTCCTAACACAATGCTGTTACACAGGCAGTAGAAGGTGCTCTTGTAACAGCAAACGATATTCCTTGATTTGACCAGTTAGAGCTCAAAATCATCCTGCCCCTCATGTGGCTGAGCATCCTGTATTTCAAAAGCAATGGAGCCAAATGATTGCACAACCTAATTGTTTTCAATCAAGCAAGGCCAGTTTTAGTTACATTGAAATATACAGAGAGAACTGTACTTTTCAAAGTTTCAGTTGATTTTTGGGGTATCTTCAGACAAAGATTTCTAAATTATATAAATATAGCCTATTGTTGCCAGGATTGCATGTGATTTTATGTGGAGAATGGTGAGGGATTTGACTGGGAATATGGAAATAAAGGTCAGAGCACACATGGACTTCATGCAATACTAGTGCTGGTCTTAGTACGGTAGAGGCAAGTTTTGTAGGATTCCCTCACTGTTGCCTGGGATAATAAGTTATTGGACAACAGTTTTCCATAATTTTATGCAGGTCTTAACCTCACCTAGATCTTTCCATAGGACATAACTGCTGGCCCAGCCCCTCCCCTTAAACACTACCCAATGTGCTGATAAGATCTGGTTCTAAAGCACAACTGCTACTGACCTTTCCACCTTGCCTTGACTCTCCCAAAAGTTCAAGCCTCCCATAAATTCTTCAACAAAATACCTTCATGATGTAGGGACTTACCCGTTGCTTTTGCTCATTTTCTCAAGTCCTCCACCTCCAGCAGCTGGCTTTTGCCACACCCTTGAAAGTTCTGACAACTCTGATGGTGCAGAGTATTTCTCTTAAATAGAGGAGAAAAGCTGATTTCTACTACATATGGGTTTTCTATGTATCAATTAGGATAGATAAGTGTGAAGTAACTTTTACTCTTTCATAGTGTCAGCTTTTTGAAATCTATACCTGCAGTCTTCAAGAATGGGAACAGTGTTTTTTCAGTTAACAGCGATGCAGGAACACTCAACCAGTTTTCAGTTGTTTTAACACCCTATCTGGTAGCTGAGAGAACATTTGTATCTGAGCCGGCACTTTCCAAGCCCTTTTATGTCGGTAGGTAAAATGAAGCGTGCAATTGTGGAAAAGAGCTTGCGACTGAAGACTTGCTGAAGGTTTCTGGTTCCGATGGTTGGGACGTGGATCTCAGCACTCGGAGAATGAAGTTCATGAAAGAGAAACAGATAAGTAACACATGTTAAGTTAGCCAGAACATTTAAAAAAAATATTAACATTTTCTTCAGACATTAATGGATGATTTTCAGTTCATCCCTCCAAGATCTAAAACAACTTACAGCTGTTACTTTCTGGAGGAAGATGCCTCTGCTATTTTAGTTCTGACTATGTACTGGAAAGTATACCAACGCTACCATTATTCT